AACTTAGAATTGAACCTCATATAGTGTTAGGATTTTTCAGGCTCTATGAACAATTGAAAAAGTACAAAGAGGGGTGAATTGACTTTTTGAAAAATTTGAGTGTGGAAGTAAAAAGATAGACAATTTGGCACAATGATTTATAGTGGTCTACATCCACCACCTTAGCTCTTCACTAAGGATTTCTAACAAATTCACTAATATTTCTTTCTTTTTTTAGGCTCAAGAGTAACCTTTTCAAATTCCTTTGTTTTTCAAATGCTAAATTAGAACCACTCTCCTTTTACAAAGGATAAAGAATGTAAACAATAAAGACTTCTAAAGTTAGATTTTTACAAGATTTGAGCTCACAAAAAAGAATCCTAAAAGCTCAAAACACTTATGTACAAGAGAAAAGGAAAATAAAGAGTGAAAGAGTTTTTCTCTTAAGCTCTATTATTTGGATAGGTTTTATAACCTTCTTCAAATGTCCTTCACTTATTTTTATATGTTAGAGTATGTTTGTAATCCTTTCTATCCGTTGGGGACTTAATTTTTTGTAAAATAAAACTTCCCAGAAGGAGGAGTATCAATACTGCCTTTTAAAGTATCAATACTGCCTTTTGAAGTATCGATACTTTCTTTATAATATTTAAATAAACTAGTCGTTAATGACTATTGGACGAGAGCAATATTGATACTAGGGTTTCTAGTATCGATACTACTATGTAAAGTAGTATTGGTATTCTTAGAGTATCGATACCACTTTTCATTCTGAAATTTGAACAACTTTAAAAACAATAGGTAGTATTGGTACTACCATAGGAGTATCAATACTTCTCTTACCTTTGGTATCAGTACTATAAGAACAATATAGATAATTATTCATTTGGTATCGATATTGTAAGAACAATATCGATACTACTTACTCAAAAAAACTATTTTGTGTTAAAATTTTAGTTTTTCGGGCTTTGAATTATTTTTGAATACTTTGAACAAAGTCGATCAGTCCAAAAATATTTTTGCCCTTAAATTGTTTTGTCAAAATATAGGTTAAAAAATCTCTCCGTTTTTGATATACAATTTTTTTAAAAATAATTTTTGGCAAAACTCCCTTTAGCAAGACAATTCTTAAAAAAGAGAAAATATTTGAAAAATATTTAAGCTCTCCATTTTTCTTTTAGAAAATAAAATTTTCAAAACATATTTTTCCTCCTTTTTGTTATATAAAAATAATTCATTTTATTGGTTTAAAATAACAACGGAGAGTAAGTTTAAATATTTAACATAAAATCATTTGAAAAACCAAAGCTCCCCCTCAATAAAAACATTATATGAAAGATTGTAACACAAAAAATTAACACACAAAAGATATTGAATTTCAACAAGGATGAACAAACATGTAGTAACACATGAAATTCGATCAATCCAAGTTAATCATACTTTATGAAAAATCAAGAATGAGACATTTTAACTCATATGCATAAAGAATTACAAAATGTTATGCATTTGATTATAGATACCAATTGTTAGAGATATATCATTTGTTATTAAAAACACATGCATAAACATTCAAATTAAAGTCAATATATTAAAAAATAAAAAAAATAAAACTTGATAAAAAAATCATTTTGATGAACTAAAATTTAGTAAAAATTCTTAACTTTATAAATATGTTCATCATAACACATTTTCAACAAACATGATGTAATCATTTATGCTCAATACTCATGCATGCATAAAAACTAATAGATAACCAATAAACAAAATAAAAAAACTTTAATGTTAAAGGTTAATCATCATTCTTTTTGTGTGACTAGAGCATTTGAATTTCTTTACTTTAATCGCCAACAAAAGACATTCATTTGGATTTTGGTACCCAAATTGCTTTCGGTCATAGAGGATTAGTACCTATGTCTCTAGTTCCTTTAGGAACCCATATTTGTATAATTTTAAAAGATTTTCTATTTTTAATAGGACAAGTATGTACATTGTGATCATGAAATTGACAATGTGAACATTTTGCCATTATCAAACTAAATGAATTGTTTAAAATAATTTCTTTTTCCTTTGTTAAGTATTCAAGCTTAACTTTCAAATAAAAATTTTCTTTTTCAAACTTTTCAAGTTTCATTTTTGAAAGCTATAATTTTTTTTCTTCAAAAGTTCATTTTGTTTTTCAAAATCTAATTTAGCTTTCAAAACAACATCATTTTCATTTTTAAATTTAGAAAACAATTTCTTATATTTGGAATTCATGGTCTCAAATTCCAAATACAATTCATCATAGACATCTTGTAACTCTTTAAAGAATAAGAATTTAATTCACTAGAGCTAGAATTATCATTGAATCTTGTTGAATGACCATGAGGCAAAGATTGACTACTTCATCATTGGAGTTGTCTTCATCACTCCAAGTTGCCATAAATGCCTTCTTTTTTCTTGATTCCTTTTTCTTTCGAATAGACAATCATACTTGATGTGTCCCATTCTTTAGCACTCAAAGCACACCGGGGGACTCTTCTTTTTTCTTGATTCATGGTTCACATATTTCTCTTTTGATGTAATGAATCGCTTGAACCTTTTGAAGACCTTGGTTATATCTTCTTCTTTTTCTTCTTCATTCACCTCTTTACTTGAGTCTTGATTTCTCTCATTTATAGACTTAAATGTGATTTCTGCTTTCTTTTTATTCTTGTTCTTTTCTACTTCTTCTTCTTGTTTCATTTGGAGTCTCATCTCATGGGTAAGCAATGACCAGATGAGTTCACCAAGAATGAGTAGCTCCAAGTCTTTGGCTTCTTCGATGACAGTAGCCTTTCATTCCCATGACATTGGTAAAGAAGAGGGCATCTTTCTCACTACTTATTCATTAGGATAAACCTCCATAAAACTTTAAGCTCATTGATGATGGAAGTAAACCATCTTTATGTATTCATCGAGCTTCCTTTTGAAGTTCTCATAGTTAAAAGTGAGAATACCAATCTTGGACTTTTTCACTTGACTTGTTCCTTCATGTGTCACATCTAACTTGTCCCAAATCTCCTTAGTATTATAGCATAAAAATACTATATTATATTTGTCTAGGATAATAGCACAAAAGAGTACGTGCATAGTTTTGGCATTGAGTTAGACTAGCCTCCTATCTTCACTTATCCATTTCGACCCATTCCTTAGAGGGTTGGGAAAACCATCAATGATGATATCACAAATCGAAAGATCAGTGGTTTGAATGAAAAATATCATCATATTCTTTCAATAAGATTAATTAACACCATTGAAGTAGGGATGCCTTGTGATGGAGTGAAAACCTTTGAGGTAGTATGAGTCGGATGTTGAAGTCATCTTCTTGGTTGTGTTGAGAATTGATAGAGCTTCTTCAAGTATCATCTCAAGGTTGTTAAACCTTCTAAGTCAAGATTTGATATCAATTATTAAAATTTTTTAAGTTCAATGAACAATCAAAAAAGTGTCAAGATGGGTGAATTGGCCTTTTGAAAAATTTGGGTGTGATAGTAACAAGATAGACAATTTGGCACAATGATTTATAGAGGTTCAACGTACTTGATGAAGTCTACATCCACTATCTTAGTTCCACACTAAGGATTTCTAACAAATTCACTAATTTTTTCTTTCTTTTTCTAGGCTCAAGTGTAACCTTTATAAATTCTCTAGTTTTCAAAGACTAAACTATAGACACTTCCCTTTTACAAAGGATAAAAAAACGTAAACAAGAACGACCTCTAAAGTTGGGTGTTTACAATAACTGAGTTCACAAGAAAGAATCCTAAAAATTTGTAATTAAGCTCAAAACACTTATGTACAAGAGAAAAGAAAAATAAAGAGTGGAAGATCGTTTCTCTTGATCTCTATTGCTTTAGATAGGTGTTATAACCTTCTTCAAGTGTCTTTGACTTGTTTTTATATGTTGGAATGTGTTTGTGGTCGATTCTAGCAGTTGGAGACTTAATTTCTACAAAATAAAGCACCCAGAACAGGGAGTATTGGTAATGTCTTTTGGAGTATCAATACTTCCTTTATAATATTTAAATAACCTAGCCATTAATGACTGTGAGTGAGAGCACTACCAATACTAGGGTTTATGATAAAAATGTTTCAACATCTATCCAAAGCAATAGAGATCATATTATCATACAATTGAATGCTTCTCTATTGGAATTATGCAAGCTCAATTACACAATCAAGATGATTATATTTTTTTTCATTTTTAGTCAATTAAAAGAAAAAAAATGAATTCATTCAAATGAAGTGTTATTTTTAATAGATATACTTCAATATGATGAGTTTCATGTTATTTCAATTCAGCATCCACAATGTAGTAAGAGTAAATAAAAAATGCTTTAATTATTTGGATTGTTATTTACACTTACTAAAGTGGATGTTAAATTGAAATTGTTCCTTTTAATTATATATTTGAAAGTTGTTCCTTTTAATCATATTTATACTTATCTATTATCTAAATTTTGAAATTGTTGAATCAAACAATAATAATCTAATTCTAAAATCATTTATGATTCAAACTTTTAAGTCCATCAAAAAAAAGTCTCAACAAATGTGTTAGATTTTCATTTTATTACCCAAAAAACCCCTTAATTTTAACTACATCAAATTCAAAATCAAAATTCTCTTAAATTTTTTAATTAAATTTCAAAATTAAACTTTCATTTGAAACCTTAGAACCTAACCTAAAAATTAAATCAAATTCCATAAAAATACATTGAGCAAAGATCAATCTAAATTAGTTCAAAATCAACTCAAAAACACAATCCCAAAGTCTCATTTTCCCCTTGGAGCCTCAACCCACTTCCCTTTCACCCTTCGCGGTCCGTACCTTATCCGAATTCCCAATCTGAACCGTCGATAACAATCCAATCCAACGGCCAAAGTTTAAAATTTTGAGGGGCGAAATCGATCTGCGTCACTTCCTTTTTCACCACTCAGCTTTCTTTGTTTCCCTTATAAATTTCACTCACTTAACTGCTATTCAGCAAAATCAACATCATCCAAATCAAAAAAGAATTCCACTTTCCTTACGGCTCGTAAGATTGTTTTGCAGAATCATGGCCGTCGCTACTGCCTCCGCGAAGAAGAAAACTGCCGGGGCTAAGAAACCGAAAGCTGCTTCTTCTCATCCTCCATTTCTCGATGTATTTTCTCCCTCTAGAGACCATAGATTATTCCATATTCATGTTGTTCATCAGATTATAATTCGAATTTTTTTGATTATATATATTTTTTACAGATGATTTCAGATGCAATTCTTTCATTGAAAGAGAGAACCGGATCGAGCCAGTATGCAATTGCGAAATTCATTGAAGAAAAGTATAAGCAGTTGCCCTCGAATTTCCGAAAGAATTTACTTGTTCAGTTGAAGAAGTTCGTTGCTTCTGGAAAGCTCGTCAAGGTCAAAGCTTCCTACAAGCTCCCTGCGGCCTCCGCCGCGAAGCCTAAAGCTGCTACCTCTGCTTCTGCGAAATCGAAGCCTAAAGCTGCCACCTCTGCTACTGTGAAATCGAAGCCTAAAGCTGCCACCTCTGCTACTGTGAAATCGAAGCCGAAGGTAGCAGTAAAAGCTGCGGCAAAACCGGAAGCGAAACCGAAAGTTGCAACGCCTGTTAAGGCAAAGGCTAAAGTTGCGGCGAAACCCAAGGCTAAAGCTAAAACTAAAGCAGTGACTAAGCCAACTAAGGCGGCGAAAACGGCCAAAACAAGTACGCCGGCGAAGAAAGTAAATACTCCGACGAAGAAGAAGGCCGTGGTGGCGAAGAAGCCTAAGAGTGTGAAATCGCCGGCTAAGAAAGCGGCAAAGACGGCGAAGAAATGAGGTGGATGTTTTTATTTTTTTGCAAAATAGTTGTAAATTTGGTGGTGATTTAGGGGTAGTTTTGGAATTCTGGACTGATACGTCTATATAAATATTTATCTGATGTATTTTTCTGTGGTTTTTTTATGACTTCATAAATTAGGGAGTAATTTGAGCTATGATAACGTAGTTAAATGAGAAATGGGTGTTTCTATCGAAATATTACCTTTAGATTTAATAATTATTTGTTAGACACTCTCTTAATATTATCGATTTAGTATTTGTTTTATACGATAATAATAAAGTACATATATTTATTTGTGTTTTTGCTGAACGTTTGATACGTTCAGAAGGTACGAATCATGATACATATTTTTCCTTTAATTTAGTTGAACTGATTGTCTTCCACATTAATTATCACCCCTCCCCCTTTCTTCCCATCTCTTCTCCCTATAAATATCATACTTAAATTACATTTAAATCTCAAATTCTCTCGTTCTTTCTATTAAGAAAATAAAATATTTTTATTATATTGTATTATTTAATAATTCATTATTTTATTAAATTTTATTGTATTATTTTTACAGTTATAAAATGAAAGACGAGTTGCTACATTTATATGAGAATAGGAGTGCTTACCGAGGGAGTCGATCGCGAGTTGGACAATGCTCAACTCGTGCTTGTTAAAAATTTTTGTTGCTTGACTCGTTACTCATTAAGCTCATTAAATTTTTGCTCGGCTTGTGCTCATTAAAAAAATCTTGTTGCTCGTTAAGCTCGATGTTATTTAGGCTCACCAAAATTGTTAACCTTATTTTCTTAATTATAGGTAAAAAAAATCTACTAATATTATACAAACCTTAATATAAACATAAATAAATAAATTTAACCAAAAATATTATCAAAAGAGTTTATGAAACAATTTCAAAATCTTCGAGAGTGATGTTTCTCTTGAAGGATATTCTGATAGAATGATTTGATGTGAAGACAACGCTAGTTTCATCTTTTCGAATTTCTCCATCATAGTAAACAATAGCTGAAATACGAGTCATTTTGAGAGTTTGAAGGATTTAGAGTCTTATATATACAAAAACAATAGCTGAAATATGACTAATTAAATAAATAGTTTATGAATTAAAATATAAACTAATCCAAAAAATTAAAAAAAAAATTCACAATAATTTAAATAACACAATTTCATATTGTTAACGTATTGGCAAAATGTCTCGAGGTATGATCTCGTCTTCCAATTTTACAACCGCAAAAAATAATACAAAATAATTAGTATAATAAAATTTGTTCAAATAATTAAATATAAAATAAATATAATATAATAAAAAATAGTTTTACCTTATAAAAACAATAACCAAATCTACTTAGCTTTATAGAAAGAATTGATAGAAGTGAGAATAAACAAGTAATTTTGGTGTGACAATGTTTGCATTTAGAGGGGTTATTTATAGGGGAGGGGAATATTAAAAACCTCGTTTTCAAGCTCGGGTAATAATGGAGTACCCAATAATTCAACATGCATAATGGAAGGTGTAGACCGTACGTGGCAGACGTTCAGCCTTACATGGCGCTAGCTCGGACAGAACCCCGCGAAGGTACAGCTGACGATCTGTGCTTTATTGCCACCATGTCAGAAAGGGTGCTAGATTGATAATATTAGGGAGATGTTTCTGACTGGTAATTATTGGGTCTAAGAGTGATATTTTGGTACAAACGCCTGAGAAGTGGTTGTGATCATAGGGTTGAGTGTTTGATCAAATTGAGTAAAACAATTTCGAGTTTTTCGAGTTGACGATTTTATTTTACAACTCGGAGTTGACTTGATATTTTTTTCGAGTTGAGTTGATTTTTTGAGTTTCTATTTAAATTTAATTGTAAATATTTATAATATTATAATATTATTTTATTCTAATTTAAGTGACTTTCTATAACCATATATACAATACAAATATATATCTTCATATTTTTTTCATATGTGATATACATATATCATACAAAGTCTAAGGATTCAACTCAAACTTAAAAAAAATATACTAATTTCTAAAACTTTTGAGTTATTAGAGTTGTATTTCACAATTAGTTTTGAACTTGAAATTTTTTCAAGTCGAGTCAAGTTTATAAAGTTGAAGTCAATTTGAGTCGATTTTTTTGAATAAAAAAATTTGATTTTTTTAATTAAGTCGAGTTTTGCTCACCCCTAGTGGATCATATTTTAATGTCAACAAAATATGACGTTGTTAAATTTTTTTATTGGCTTAGTAATTAATCTATTTGGAATCAATTTAATACATAAAATTTTAATCATAATAGTCATCAATAGATGTTAAATATTTATTATAACTTCTTTTGGATGTTTATTGATGATAAAATTTTATTAAAATAGAAATATTTTCAAACACAAAATTAATAAAAATTGAGTACACATTTTTTAATATACGTAATATATATTATTTCATTAAAATTTTTACTAAAAAATCAATGAGATAAAATTTTAATTTTAAAAATATAATATTTATTTACTTCCCTCATAATAACTCCGCATAATATTTTTGAATTTTATAATTCAATATTGAATATAATGTTCAAAATGTTGAAGTAGATAATTCATTGATAAATAAATTTATTAAATTATTTAGATATCATTTAACTTTATTTGTTGATTTATTTATATTACTAAACTTTTTTTACCAATTATAACATTGTTACTTTTAATTATACAACTTTGTTGTTAAGTTAGTCGTGGGATGATGACATGACCAACAATTGTTGATGTGATCTATAACACGAAAAATGACGTTTTGGTGTGACTACTCTAATGTACAGAACTTTTTGGGTGTCAATTTTCTTTTACTCAAGTAAAAACCTCTTCAATTGATTTTTTTAAATTACCTTTTAAACTTTTGATTTACGTTACTATGTACGAAAATCTAGACATTCGATAAAAAAATTTGTTAAATTATTCTATTCATAAATAATATATTTTATATATAATTTTTAAAACGTTCAATAAACATATTACCGAGACGAATAGTCTTAATTGTATAATCTATTTTTTTTATTTATCCGAGTAAATAATCTCATAAATAACATGTTGTGAGTTGATAATATGTGTGATTGTCTTGTTAACACATTCACTAAAACCATATAATATGAAAACTTTCCACGTGGTGGATAAATGGACCTATAATTCATTCATGGTTGTTGTCCCTAAAGATTTCGAGTTCGAACATTAGCTTTTGTAGAGGTATTTGAATATTTATTGTCAAATAATTTAGAATCTATAGAACATATACTACCTTATAATCACTTTATTTTAATTAAAATAATAATAATCAATTCCTTTGAAAAATAAACAACACAATAAGTTCATTTTTTTAAAATAAATGTTTATGTGAAAAATCATATAATATTAAAACTTTCCACATGGTAGATAAACGGGCCCATAATTCATTTTATCTTAGATATTTATTCTGAACTCTAACTAGTAAGATTCTAATAATCAATTTCTTTTAAAAACAAGTAATATAAGAACTTTAAGTTTTTTAATAAATGTCTATATGATTATGTTGAACCTATTTTGATATAACAAATTTAAGGGGAAAATGTTTTTGGACTTAATTGAATTTATTCAAAATTTTCAAAAATAATTCAAAGTCCATAAAACTTGAATTTAAACACAAAATAATTTTTCTGGGCAAGAAGTACTGATATTGTTCTTACAGTATTGATACCACATGAATAGTATCGATACCAAAGATAAGAGAAGTATCGATACTATCATGGTAGTACCGATACTATTATGGCAGTACCGATATTACATATTGTTTTCAAATGTGTTAAGATTCTAGTATCTAAAATTGATACAGATACTAAGAGGAGTATCAAAACTACTTTACATAGTAGTATCGATACCGTAAACCCTAGTAAAAATGATCTATGTCCAACGATCATAAAACAACTAGTTTATTTAAAGACAATACCGATACTCATCATCCGAGTACCGATACTTGCATGGTCTGGACAGTTTTATTTTGTATATTTTTTAATCCCCAAAGCTAGAAACGACTAGAAACTCATTCCAACATATAAAAACATATTGAGGGCACTTGAAGAATGACACAACACCTATCCAAGCAATCAACATCAAGAGAAAAGCTCTTTCATTCTTATTTTTCCTTTTCTTTTGTGCATAAGTGTTTTTAGTGAGCTTATTGTAAACACCTTTCTTTGAGAGGTTTATTGTGTATATTTTCTTTATCTTTTTGTAAAAGGGGTTTGGTTGTTATTTAGCCATTGAAAACTAGGGAGTTGTAAAAGGTTACTCTTGAGCCTAGAAAAAGAAAGAACAAATTAGTTAATTTGTTAGAAATTCTTAGTGTGGAGCTAAGATAGTGGATGTAGACTTTGTTGAAAAGTCGAACCACTCTAAATCATTGTGCAAATTGTCTATCATTTCTCTCCATAATCCCAAAATTTTTATTTAGCCAATTCACCTCCTATTGCCACCATTTTCAGTTTATCAATAGAGCAACAAATATCCTAACAAATGGTATCTGAGTGGGTCACAAATCGACAGTTTAACAATTTTGTGAAGATCCTTGAAGCTCTCTATCAATTTTTGACACAACTGAGAACATGACTTCTATATCCGACTTACTACCTTGAGAACTCTTACTCCATCCATAGGCCTTCTTACTTCAACGGAGCAAATTATTCCTACTGAAAGAATAGGATGATGTTGATCGTACAAGCCATCGTCCTTGCGATTTGGGATGTCGTCATTGACGGTTCTCCCTTTTCTCCAAGTAATCGAAAGGATTGGACAAGTGAAGATAAAAAAACTTGCCCAACTCAATGCCAAATCCATGTACATCTTCTTTTGTTCTCTTGGCCCAGATGAATATCGTAGAGTATCTTCATGCTCCAATGCTAAGGAGATTTGGGACAAGTTAAAAGTGGCCCATGAAGGAATATACCAAGTGAAGAAATTCTAGATTAACATTCTCGCTCGCAACTACGAGAACTTCACGATGAAGCCCGATGAAAACATTAAGATGATGTCCAATTGGTTCACTACAAATAAAAATGATTTGAAGAACTTTGGGAAAGTTTATCC